GTGTAAACCACAGTGCCCGATCTCGTGCCGCGCTATAGATAAAGCCCAGAGCATCAGGCACACTAGGGGCCTCTGTCATCTGAGCCTCATCTCTGGTGCACGCAGACTTAGTCATGGGCTTATTAACCCCGGTTGGCCTCAAACTTGCTACATAGCCAAAGCTAGTCTGAGCTCCCCATCCTCCTGTGCACACCTCCCATGTACTAAGATTATAGGCTTGGCCACCAAATCCAGTGATGGCCTGGGATTTTTGTTGTTTTTTTAAGTGCATAGATGTCAATGTGTCAAAATGTACACATTTAATAGGATTTAGTCTCAAGTCTCACAAATCTGTGTCTTATTTGTACTTATTAGGTCTGTTGATCACATTAGTAAGTATCTGTAAGCCAGGCACAGTAGTAGTCTCATTACACTATGGAGAAACACCATTTTCCACTAAGAGGCCTTTGGACTTAATGAGCGATTCTAGAACTGGACAGGGAAATATAAGTTGGTCCTTGAAGCTGTTGTGGTGCCCGAAGGTTAAGATGTGTGCCAACTAATGGGGAGCTCAGGGGCCTCACATTGGTCAATTCAGGACAACTTGAGCATAATCCTAAAAATTTAATGATGGTAATAACTATAACACGCCGAATAAATGAATTAATCAGTCATGGTGACACACCACACAAAAGAAGCAGGGAGCCCTTTAGAGACGGCCTTCTGATACGGACTGGATAAACAACTAGAAAATGGCCACCTCACCTTCCCCAGTATCACAGCACATCCAGGGAAGAGTGCCCAGGGACACTCACAGTATTAGATATCACTCACAGTCACCCCACTGTGCGATCATAAAGAGATGCAGAAGGCTTTACAACACAAACACATGACAATAACACTGTCAGGGATCAAATTTAGCATCGGTAAAAATGGTAGAGACAGACCATCTGTGCCTCCTCACAAAATGTCACTGCAAAGTGCATACATTATCAATACATTATTGTTGCCCAAGATGAATCCAGAACTGGGAGAAAATCAAGTAAGATATTATTTGGGACAAGCAGGTATTCAAGATGGACTGAAGTATTGCATCAGTATTTGGTTTTTTGTGGTTTTGGCCATGGTGTAGCTCAGTGGTAGGGATTCAATTCTCAGTACCAAGAATATATACATATATATGGTTTTGGTATACATTTTAGGCATCATAATGGCAATGTAGTTATAGAGAAGACAACTGAAATATAAACACTACACTTACACCAACAGAACAGGTTCTACATAGGAACTAGACAAGCTGATCTTCTCGTGTGCATTTAAACTCTCTACAACCCTCTTTCCTTAAAAACTGCTCAGCCAATGGCTGAAAGGGAACCGGTTCAGCCCCCCCCCCAGCCAATCCCACTCCCCCAGCTGGGCTGAGGCGAGAAACCCGAGGGCTCGGTGACAGGAAAAACAGGAAACACTCGTTTCAGCATCCATGTGAGAAGGGGAAACTGAGGCAGAACACAGTTGGTCTCCACAACCCTGACAGTAGTAGTTATAAAACCTCACCAAACTGTGGAGGAACAAAGTCCTGAGGATTTGGTGTGTAGAGAGTAACAAGAGAAAAACGGATTTCACAGTATCGTCTGTGTCTGCACTGATGCCTTTAATCAGCTGTTTTATCTTGAACTTTTTTTGAGATCAGGTATTGACAGACTAACCCAGACTGACCTGAAACTCTGTATGTAGCCTAGGGTGGCTTGAACTCATAGCAATTCCCCTGCCCCAGCCTCTTGAGTGCTGACTTCAGTAGGTTCTTTCCTGCCTTGCTTCCTGTGAGCTGCTACCATCCCGTGGCCACGAGTCTGGGCACGCTTTTGGAGCACAGCTTTTAGGGTGCAAATGGGAGCCGCAGTTTCTTCCATCCAGTGAGGAAGCTCATTTCCGGCAAACCACACCACATGCTCTTCCTCCACATCCATGTTCCCCCCCAAAGCCTCCCGATCGCCTTCCTTTTCCTGCAGGCCCTTTCTCTCCTACTGGCCCCCAGTGGCAAGGGCACCCACCCCTCCCTCCCACAGTGACCCTTAGCAGTCAACAGTCCCCAGAAAGAGGTGCTCATGTCCTTTATTAATACTCCAAAGAGAAGAGAAATAGCACTCAAGCAAGGCCCTGGTGTTGTTTTCCAAGTTGATACCCTGGTTTGTGGCTCCATCCTCACAATCTAATGCAGACATTTTTCTTCCTGGAAAAGCAAGCCGTCTTCCCACAGGTAAATGACGCTCGCACTGCATGCTCAGCACCGCAGACAGGGGTGACCCGAGGAGCTGGCTACATCTCTTGAATTAAGAACACCATTCTGCTGCTTAGTGAAAATGACTCAAGAAGGAGAAAAAAGAGAAATGGCCAAGGGGCCAAGCTGCTGCCTTCCCTTCAGAGGGTTCCCCAAACCCGAATCTTTCCGGCTAATATGGTACAATATGCCCACCTAGCTGCAAGGCAAGTTCCGAATACAGAACATTCTTTCCTCTCTTCATTGAGCACAGTGCCAGCCTCCATCCGAAACATAAAAACACAGTAAGGGGCTCAGCCTTTGGGAGCACTGGCTGCTCCAGAGGACCCAGGTTCAATTCCAAACATCCTCAGGAGGTCCACAACTGATTGTAACTCTAGTTCCAGAAATCTGACACCCTCACCTGAGAGCACTGTATTAAACATGATACACAGACAAGACATACACGCAGGCAGGCAGAAACCCACAAACTGACACATAAAATAAAAACAAATCTTTAAAAAATAGTAAGAAAAGGGAAAATAGTTATCAACCAAACCATGGGCCATATTCTTTTCATCTTTTTTGCAGATCATTCCTGAGACCTAACGATTGTTTTCCAATTATAATGTCAACTTGGTTGGATTTGGAGAGCTGGCTCAGTGGTTAAGAGCATGCACCACTCCTGAAAAGACACGAGTTTGGTTCCCAGCACCCAACATCAGTTGGCTTAAGATACTTGGAACCCCAGGTCTAGGGAAGCTGACACACTCTGGTCTCCATAGGTGCCAGAATTGACATAGATACACATAGATATACACACAGACATGTAATTAAAAATCAAATTGCCCAATGGGATAAAGCACGCCTTTAATCCTGGCACTCAGAAGGCAGAGGCAGGTGGATCTCTGAGTTCGAGGCCAGCCTGGTCTACAGAGTGAGATTCAGGATAGCCAAAGCTACACCCTGACTCAAAAACAAAACAAAACAAAACAAAAAAACCAAAATAAAGTCTTTTTTTTTTTTTTTTTTTTGGTTTTTTCAAGACAGGGTTTCTCTGTAGCTTTGGAGGCTGTCCTGGAACTCACTTTGTAGACCAGGCTGGCCTCGAACTCACAGAGATCGGCCTGCCTCTGCCTCCCGAGTGCTGGGATTAAAGGCGTGCGCCACCAACGCCCGGCTACAATAAAGTCTTTTTTAAAAGGTAACGATCAAGCCGGGGGATGGTGGTATGCATCTGTAATCCCAGCACTCCAGAGGCTAAAACAGGAGGGAAAATTTGAGGCCAATCAGGACAAACAGCAGAGCAAAACAAAAGAAAGCAGCAGAGGCTGGGGGAGGGGGTTCGGAGGCTGGGGGGGGGGCTCGGTGGTGCAGCACAGGCTTAGCTCGTCTGTGGCCCTGGCTTCATCCCCGCACCAGGAACAGGCGGCGACAGATTTCTACACCAAAGCGGTACTATCCCCATTTCAACAGACAGGACACTGGAGACTGGTTCCGATGTCTTTAATGTCTCAAGCCACACTCTCTCCATGAGACAGAAAAGGAGAGCGGAAGTAACTTCTAAATATAACAATTTGTGGATTGTTTTACAAGTCCTTGGTAAGTTGGAAATGTTTCTAAACCCATCTGTACGCACTCGGAAGTAGCTGTAACTATAATTGAAAGCCGATCATCCACTCATTCAAATCTGCATTAAGTTGCCTGCCGTACGTACACCTGCTGTAACAGCTAATGGCACACAAATGTGACACTTTTCAAACGATGCCACCTCTAAAGGACGCAGCAATCTAGTAAGAGTGGCAAGTAATTTAACACGACCCCTAGGCGAGAACACAGCTTACTAAGCATGGAGGAGCAGCTGGGAGGTGCTGCTGCCCACCTTTGTCATTAATCCTTTGTGAAGCTAACTGTTAGACAGGCAACGTCTCACCCTGGAGCGTGTAAAGCGCAGTTCGCATTTTCAAAACAAAAAGAGGGAAAGACGACTCAAGATCAAATTAAATCTTAACAGAGACAGTAAGTTTGTAACATAGCGTACAAAGTTAGGTACAAGTAAGTTAGCAATAAAGGTTAAATTTGAATTCCTTTTAGAATTTTCCTTTGGCAAGTTAGGATCACAATTTCAGCATGTTTAGAACAGAGGCTTGTATCTCTCAATTAAGATTTCCACACACAAAGAGCGGTGGTGGCGCACACCTTTAACCCCAGTTCTCAGGAGGCAGAGGCCCGTGGACCAGTGAGTTCCAGGACAGCCAGGTCTACACAGAGAAACCTTGCCTCAAAAAAACAAACAAGTAAAAAGATTACCATGCACAAATGTCATAATTACTCTAGATGCAATAATACACAGGATTTTTCGAGTAGTGTAAATTATTTTAACACTTTACCTATCAAAAATAATTTGGGGGATTAGGAGTATAGCTCAATGGTGGAATTCATGCAAGTATGTGTGAGCCCTTGATTTAATCTCCACCAAAAAGAAAAAGAAAAAGTAGCCATAGTATACATGATTTAGCAGTAAAATGTAAGTGGAAAAATTACTGTAAACTTCTAAGTACCTATTTTTCTGTATATTACTTATTTTAAAAATGGTTCAGAGAAGCCGGGCGTTGGTGGCGCACGCCTTTAATCCCAGCACTCGGGAGGCAGAGGCAGGTGGATCACTGTGAGTTCGAGACCAGCCTGGTCTACCAAGTGAGTTCCAGGACAGCCTCCAAAGCCACAGGGAAACCCTGTCTCGAAAAACCAAAAAAAAAAAAAAAAAAAAAAATGGTTCAGAGAAAAATTGAAAATACTTAGTAAATTTAAAAATAGATCTTCAAAAGCTAATAGTTTTCTCTCATACCAAACTCTTTTCCCTACCAAATATAAATGTGCATTTCCAGAACTAATCCATTTATGACAGCTGTGGTTCCTCAACCCCAAAACACTTTGAAAATACAAAGTACTCATAATCACAAACAGCATGCATAGAACAAAACTGTCACCTAGCAGTCAGATCACGCATGATGTGGATGGACTCAGCCTTTCCAGCACGATGCTCCAGTCCAGCAGGCCTACATGTGTGAGAGTTGTCCCCACGCATGCTCCCGCCACCACAGCGCCCAGCTGCGGTCCTGAGGCTGCGCACAGAGAGGCTCAGTGAGAGGAAACCTTGTGATTCAGGTTCATTCTTCAGAAATTGCTTCTCTGTCTTCTTTAACCTCTCCAGGGTTTTCCTTGCAAGAATCCTGGCTGTCAGCATCAATAAAATAGTTTTCTTCCCCATTCTCTCCTTCTTCTTCGTAAGTGCTAAAGAAAGAAATGTTATTAGTCTGTCAATGGAAAATGCGTGGTTTCGAAGGTACATGACCCTGTGTGACCATAGCACCATGTAGGCGGTGTTCCTCCCGTCCACGAGCTCTGACAGCTACCAGGAGAACTATGGGAGCACCAATGAGGAATTAAGTATCCTCTGACAACCAATTTATCTCGAAACTTGTCTCCTATTTCTTTGATTTTTGAAGGCAGACTTTCTTTGTGTAGCCCTGGCTGACCTGGATCTAGCTCTTGTAGACCAGGCTGGCCTCAAACTCAGAGATCCACCTGCCTCTGCCTCCCCAGTGCTGAGATTAAAGGTGTGCACCACCGACTGGTGAGTCCTCATATTTCTTTCTTTTTTTTTTTTTGTGGGGAGGGTTTGAGACAGGGTTTCTCTGTATTGGAGGCTGTCCTGGAATGCACTCTGTAGACCAGGCTGTCCTCGAGCTCACAGAGATCCACCTGTCTCTGCCTCTGGGAGAGTCCTCACATTTCAATCTAAAGCAGTCCCCCTCTATATATACACATATATACACACACACATATATATACACACACATACATATATATATATGTCAGAAATATAAGCTTGCTGCAAGAACAAAACGTTTTATCACTGTGTAACATTGATATCGTGCGTGTCAAACATGGTAAAATACTGGAATATTTTGCAGGTTCACATGCACTCCCTCAAGTAAAAGGCTTTAAAGCAACAGGAAAGCGCAGCGCGCACTCCCCTGCGGCGTGCTACCTTTCTTTATCCGATGTGCGGCTTCTCAGCTCTTGTCTGGTGAAGCTCTCAGATGCCTTCCCACCTTGGCCTTTTTCTGAAACAAACTCCTCAGATAGTCCTAGTGCTTTTAGGGTGTTAGAATAGCGCTTTTCTGCTGCCATCCTTGCGTTTCTCTATAGGAGACACAACCTTGTTAGATGAGCACAAACTGTAAGTTTCTTTTAGGATGTATGGATTTAAAAGCACCAGTGGAAACTGCCATGACAGACTCAGCAACTGAAATATGCTTCTTCTATGACTCACATGTTTAGGCATGGACCAAGAGAGGACAGGTCAAGGACGCTCGAGGCCGTATTGTCTGTAATAACTGAGCACTGTGGGTAGCCCAAAGTCTGGCGACATTTGGAGGGGTGAGTAAGCTATACTGCAGTCACGCACAGAAAAATGAATCAATGGAAGTGAATAAACCAGTCACCTGCCACAACAAGGCATGGCAGATAACTTACAAATGTGACACTGAGCAAAAGGAACCCTCAGAAGAACACAAAAGAATATATCTAGGAGACTAGATATATTTACTGTAAGTCCAGAAACAGGAAAAACAGAAAACAAAGGAACGCTGATCCCAAGCTGGAGGTGATGACCCCTAGAGGAGGTGGCTGGTCTGCAATGACCTGTCACACTGTGGTAAACTCTTAAAAGATCAATAAGGAAAGAGAATAATGAGCCACGTGTGATGCAGTCCCAGGTCGCAGGAGGCATAGGCTGGAAGAGGATTAACGCAGTTTTAAGGCTAGCCTGGCCTACATAATTAGTTCTAGACCAGCCAGCAGGAATATACAGCAAGACATGTCCAAAAAACAAGCAAACGAAGGTCATGTGTCTGCTTCAGCTCGGAACACAGGACCACGTGGTAGTGGCTGGGTGGCTCTTTTCTGTCTTTATGTGCCATGACTTCAGACCATCAAATATAAAATCATCAGCACCGCCATCTCTACTTGACTTCAGACCATCAAATATGAAATCAGCACCCCCATCTCTACTTGACTTCAGACCATCAAATATGAAATCATCAGCACCGCCATCTCTACTTGATGGAAGAAAAAAGGGATAGTTAGAGTTAGTCCAAACATGGTGAACGTCACTTCTTGGAGGTCCACAGGAATTTTAACGATCCTTTCACAGCTGCAGCTAACTGAGGGCTAGCATGCAGCTCATTGGTAGAAGGGCATTTATATAGACATGCTTGGGGCTCTGGGCTCATTCCCTAGTAACAAGAAAAACAAAATCAATGGACAAAAAACCCAAACCTAAATAAAAAGAAAGTCTTCAATCCTAGCACATGGCAGGTGAAGCAGATGGCCTGACCAGGCCAGGGAGGGCTCCACAGCGAGACCCTGTCTGGAAAAAGCAGGGCGCACTTGTCACAAGTTGAAAGTTGGCCCTGAGCTCACAGATTTCAAGCAGCTGGCTACAGTGACAAGGTGCTCAGAGTGGTGGCCTGAGCCCAGTCTTAGCTCCTCTGAGAAAATCTTACTGGAGACCTGGGCCAGGAATTCCCTCTGCACCTCCATCTAAACTAAGGTTCGTGAGGAACACCTCAGTTCCGGGGACCAAAAGCACCCCATATGCAGAGTGTGACAGTGCCCAGCAATACCCAAGAAAACAGGAAGCCACAGGTGCTCAATCTAGGGCTCTGCAGGAGAAGCCAAAAGAGCCAAGATCAATTGTGAGGGATATTATCATGCCTTCCCAGATACTCTGGAAGACTGCAAAAGACACATAACTTCAAACTTCTGTTAATTTCACCAAGGTCAACGACACTAGTTTTTAAACAATGCATGTGAGACAATTTCACTGTGTAGTACTGGCTGTCCTGCTCCTATGTAGACCAGGATAGCTTCAGTCTCATAGAGATTCACCTGACTCTGTACTCCCCCCGGCCCCCAAGTGCTAGGATTAAAAGAACGAACCACTATATTTGACCAACCAAATCCACAAGCTCTGGGTTCACTGAGAGCCTTTGCCTCAAAATTCACCTCTGGTGTGCACACACGCATGCATGCACGCACTCCTAAGTGTAAATGTGCCCAGAAGCTGTAGAATACCAACAAGTCCTGGTGAACTGAAACCAAGTGAGGAATGGGAACTGTGCCCCAGAGACTACGGAAGTGAATAAGCTGAAACAACTCCGGTGCACTGAGGACACCATGGGCTAGGCTCACCTATGGTACAGCGCTAGTCTAGTCTGCAGGAAGTCTGCTTTAATCCCAGCACCATGCAAGCCAAGAGTGGTAACACAATCTGCAATCCCAGTGCCCAGAAGGCGGCAGTGGATCAGAAGACCAAGGTTGTCCTTGCTTCATAATGAGTCTGAGGCCAGCCTTAGCTACATGAGACCTGCCTCAAAATAAGACTGACTTTCAACTTGTGGCAACTCTACCTTATTGTTTATTTTTTAAAGACAGGATCTTGCTATAAACACTCCCCCCATAAATTAAAGATAACAGTATTGATTTTATCTTTGATGGTCTTGTATGGCATACAAGGACTTAGAACGGTCTGGGCGTTGGTGGTGCACGCCTTTCACCTCAGCACTGGGGAGGCAGAGGCAGGGGGATCTCTGTGAGTCTGAGGCCAGCCTGGTTTACAGAGTGACTTCCAGGACAGCCAGAGATACACAGAGAAATCTGTCTTGCAAAACCAGAGCCAGCGGGGGTGGAACCTAGTAGTCTGGCAGGACCAAGGGCAAAGGACTTGAAACACAAAGTGAAAGCTTGGGAGGGGGGAGCGGGAGACAGTAAAGGGGCTAACAGGGGGCTGGGGATGAAGTGGGGGCTGGTCTAATTTGCCCTGAGTTTGATCCCCAGCACCACATAAAATCAATTGTGGTGGCACACACCCATAAATCCAGCACTTGGGAGGTAGAGGCAGCAGCCAGAAGTTCAAGTTCACCTTGGCTTTGCAGGAGTTTGAGGCCTTTGCTACATAGGACCACGTCTCCCAAATAAAGGCTAGCAAGAAGCATGGAGAGCTTCTCCATTGTGCTGCAAGCCGAGAGCCCATCCTCTGCAGGAAGGGGAAGGGAAGGTCAACACAGGCTCTGAGCCTAGCTTGCCATTTACTAACTACAAACCTGAGTAGTTCCCTTTTTGGACTTGAATTATATGATTACCTCGCCTTCCAGGTAACCTTGGGGACGTTAACTGAGACTTTCCCTGAAAATGAGGATGAAAGGAATCCCTGGGAACAGACACTGGCACAGCTGTCAAGGTGTACTAGCTGGCGCTCATTTTGACAGACTGGGAAAGCAGAAAGGTCTGATTTTTGGTTTTAATGCTTCTAGGCCTGGAGAGATGGCTCAGTGGCTCAGAGCACTTATTCTTACAGGGGGCCTAGGTTTAGTTCCCGGTAGTCAAGTGGCGGCTCACAACTCCAGTTCCAGGGATGCAGTGCCCTTTGGTCTCTGCAAGCACATGGAGCACAGACATGCATGCAGGCAAAACCCTCACAGCCATGAAGTAAATTATGTAAATAAGCATCCAATTTAAAATGTTTCTAAGAGACAGGGTCTCATTAAGTTGCAGACACTGGTCTCAAACTAAGTGGTTTAATTCATCAAAGATCTCTCAACCGTATTCCGAAGCTCACCAGAATAGCAGAACCAGCCTGATTAAAAAGAACAGGCACGCCGGGCGTTGGTGGCGCACGCCTTTAATCCCAGCACTCGGGAGGCAGAGGCAGGCGGATCTCAGTGAGTTCGAGGCCAGGCTGGATTGACAGCCTCCAAAATAGAGAAACCCTGTCTCATAAAACCAAAAAAAAAAAAAAAAAAAAAAAAAAAAGAACAGGCACTAACTGGGCGTGGTGGTGTACACCTTTGATCATAATAGGAAGCAGAGGCAGGTGGATCTCTGTGAATTTGAGGCCAGCCTGGTCTACAGAGTGAGATCCAGAACAGCAAGGGCTACACAGAGAAACCCTGTCTCAAAACAAACAAACAAACCCAAACAACAACAACAAGACCACTAAAAGCAGACTGTGGCAGGAATATCTGGAGGCAACAGGGTTAATGGAATGTTCTTTATTGAGCTACGAGCCTCTTCAGACCCTGAGCAAAATTACTTCCTGAGTGGACTGGGAGAAGCTGCCCCAGAAATAGCGTCTCAGCAGAAGCAGGACACCCGAGGGAGATGGGGCGCCAGCTTGGGAGCCAGAGGCCCTGAGAGCTGGGAACGGCTCTAGATTCCAACAAACACAACCTGGGCGACCCTTTCAAACAGCATTGGCCTCTGCCGCAGTTTTCCATCGCGCTCTTCCAGCTCTCGCCGATAGTCCTTCATCCTTGCCTTTTCACTTGTTCTGGAATCGGAGAAAGGGAATGGCATTTTAAAAGGCCAGCTACGGAAGCTGCATTAGGACATCAAATTCAGAGCGCACAGTTCAGCTTGGCTCCTTTTCTAGACTGTAAGACTCTTCTAAGTCCAGAATAAAAATCCCAGGTTCTGAAAGCACACATTGTACTGCCCTGGGGACAATCTGGACATTTTGATTTCAAAAGTCTTCAAGGTAGATGGTGTAAAAAAAAACAAACAAACCTGAAACATGTCTTATAAGTATACAAAACCAAGACAATCTGGTCCAAATTGGGTATCTTAACAACAACAAAAAAAAATTCTTTCAAACCAAGACTCTGCTCCCCCCCCCAAGTCACCTAAAGGTCAGTGGCAACACTGCATGAACCTCACTGTACTTATTCTTTGGGTCAGATCCCACAATGAAATAAACTGCACTCTTTTTAAAAGCAACCAAGACAAGAGTTTCATGGGCACAGAAGACAATAGTTTATAATAGTTATGCTTACTCATTGAAAGCTACTAACTTCTATAGGTAAACACTGTATTCATCAAACTAGGCTCTATCAGAAAGCTAGTGCTATATTGTAAAGGGATACATGTATTTGATTCTTATAAATCAGATGAAAGGTTAATAAATCATATACTTACCCAACTTTGGAGGAGAGATTTTCTTGCTTAAACATGGTCATTTGTGTGTGCAATGTCTGCACCCATTGGTTTTCAACTCTGCTCTAGAGAGTTCTAGTATTTTGCGGCTGCTGTTAGTTGTTACAGGGAAACAGTCACAAGTACATTCCCACAACACATTCTCTCAAGCCACTGCAATTTATACAAACTTAGAACTCCCTGACTTACTTAATTGAAACAATATTCTTGGCTGGGATGTAGCTCAGTGTTAGAGACTTTTTCAGTGATGTGTCGTACAATCAAAGTAACGTAAATAAGGCCGGCTCAGTTGTAGAGTGTGCTCCATTGCCATGTGTGAGGTCCTGGGTCTGATCCACATATCCCCAGCACCATATACATATGTGTATGTATGTATGCATATGTGCCAAACATTTATGTCATATATAAATAAGAACACACACATACAAATAAAAAGGTTTTATGCTGGCATTTAAAGCACAGCTATTAACTATGGCAGTAACAGAAAATGTCACTGTTCCACACAGTCTTGTGACTTCTGCTCTGGAGGTGAGTGTATACACTGACTCTCATCATGTGTATGTGCACATATGTATATGAAAAGTTGAGTACAAACAAAGATGATTTAAATGCATAAATTCATTGGCTAAAAAGAAGGAAGGAAAAGATGGGGAGGGGAGGGGGGAGGGGAGGAGAGGAGAGGAGAGGAGAGGAGAGGAGAGGAGAGGAGAGGGGAGGAGAGGAGAGGAGAGGAGAGGAGAGGAGAGGAGAGGAGAGGAGAGGAGAGGACAGGAGGAACAGAACTGAGTTTGGAAGCCAACGTTTGAGTTTTGGGACTCTCCCGCGATACCTGCGATGGTTTACTCTGGATTTAGACATCTGGGCTAAGCCCTGATGTGAGTCATAAGCCTTAACCCGAGTTGCCAGGAGTTTCTGCAATTCTTTCATTCTTTGCTTCTGTTTAGTTAGGATCCGATTTCTGTCTTCTTCCAACATTTTCTTTTCCTCAAGTGATTTCCTGAGGGCAACAAACTAAGGCTTAATTCCCTTTAAGCCAAGGAGAAAGTTGTCCAGCAAAGATTTAACCTGGGATAACTCAGAGGCTGAAAAAAAGGCAATCCTTTGACCAAAATCTGACTCCTGCCGTTGGAAATCCAAGTGACGCTGATGGTGTAAACTTATCTATGCCCAGGGAACATAGAAATCACATTCGTTTCTTAGGAGAACATTCCTAGCAAATGATTCTCTACCATAGTGTACAATACCTCACAGAGGATTCAGCAATTTCAGACTCACCAAGCTAAAACCCCCAGGGCTGTATATGCCAGCACAGTGACCATGTGTCAGATAGTGCACACCCCAGGGCTTACCTGATGGCTTGCTCCCGCCCTCGGGACGACAGGGTCGGCATCGGAGGGCTGCATCGGCAAGGCCTGGGCTTTGTGCACCCTGGGGACAGATAGGGCCAGCATATTTCTTTTAGATTTTCTTCGTCTGCTCCAATGTCTGCTACGACTTTCTGTCTTTTAGCAGAGTCACATGGGGATTCATGAAGACCACACTGTTTACAAGGAGTTGAGTGTTTCTGAGCGCTGGGCTCTGAGAAGGGCTCCTTCCTTCCTTTCTCAGCAAAGTCCCCATCATCAGGGCTCAGGCACCTGCACCTGTGTCTACCCCTTGGCTTTCCAGGACTTTGGGGGTCCCTGAAACGTCTGCAAGCTGGCCTGCAGGGCCAGGACGAGCTCTGCGGCAGTTCTTCGGCCCTCGGCTGTGTGCTGACGTCCCTACTCAACTTGTCTTCTTTTGACTTGTCACTTGCAGCTGCCTTGTAAACTGAATGAGGCACGGGCCTGGCTTTAAACCGCTTCGTCCTCCTTTTAGACCTAAAAAGGTCTCTCAGCTGCTTTTCACGGATTGCTTGCTTCTTCTGCTCCTCCCTGGCGATGAACTTAAATGGCTTCTGGGAGGCCAGGAGCGCGGCTTTGCTCTTCTCCCTGACGGTCCTCCTCCGTTCTTCATTCTGCCTCATCACATCCTCATAAGCGGGCTGCAGCATGCCGGAGGGGACAGGATTGGCTCGGAATTTCTTCTTACACTCCGCGTCATCCTCGTCCCTCTTGAGCAGTTTCTGTCGGCTTTGGGGATCTGACCTTGCTTTCAGGGCAGCCTCTCTCTTCTTCTGCTCTCTAACTGTCATCTCAAAGGGCACAGGCACTGTGACTGTGGGCACCCAGGGTTTGGGTTTCCTCCTTGTTTTCTTAGGTGTCTGGACGTCAGAGTCATACTGAATGTAATCTTCTACAGAAAAGTTAGTCCACATGTTGTTGATGAGCTCCTTGGCGTAGGCTGTCATTCTGCTCTCCCCAGGGGCCTCTCTCTCCAGGCTGGGCAGCTCCTCATCACAAGTCGTGGACAGGGAAGACGACCGGCCTACCTCAGGCTCTGAATACGACGTGACTAACAAGACAGGGTGAGGGCAGTTCTTTTCTGATGCAGAGCTAAGGAAGAAGAAGATGAATTGGGGCACCCTTCAACTTTATACAGCCAAATAGCAGACTTAAAGTAATTAAAGGTTTTCTAAGATGAACGCATAGTCAGTTAGAAGAGAACAGCTGTATAAGGACCACGAAAATCATCATTTTTATTTAGAATGGAGCTGAGAGAGGACTATGAATGACCTAGTCAACTCTCTGACTTTCCAGAGAAGGAAGCTGAGATGTCAGCTGCTCCTCACTTGCTGATTTCCTCTATGCCACCCAGAGCCACCGTCTGGAACATGTCTGACCACGTCACTCCAACCTGCAGCATTCCTCTTCGCTCTGAGTCTGGACTACCAATCAATCAGGACTGACCTGATCACCCTGAAGACTCACCCTCCCCCCAGGGGCTGCTCTTAGAGTCCTCCCACACTGATTTCTTTTCCCACCATGCCTGGTACACACCGTGGCTGCCGTCCTCACACCTTGCTTCCTGTATCTGCCATTCCTGTTCCTCTACCAAGTTTGGACTTAGTTGGGCATGCCAGTGCATGCTAATGGAGGCCAAGACTGGAAAGATATGGAGTTCAAGACTCAGCAACGGTGAGAGCCTGTCTAACGTGCACTCAGGGTTTGAGCTCCGGCATGGTTTGGAAACAGAACTGAACTTAAGGATGGCACTCCTGTTGAAAATGCTTTCCTGCCTCCCCAGCAACTGAGTGCGACCAGCTGCTCCTGTTTCTGAGACACTGGAGGGTCATGTCATACTGCCACCTCTCTGGTGTCAGATCTCAGACAGGCCTGGCACACAGGAGATGCACAGATAGCTGGACCAACTGAATTAGGTAAAGGATCAGCTTACAGTTTCAAAAAAAGCAAGTTCATAGTAGAGATGAACCTTAAAACTAGATTGACTTAAAAAAATAAAAAGGAATCAAAAACTTGTATCTTAAATGAGCTCATGTTAACCTGTTTTTAAAATTAAACTTTAATTTACATTATTTAAGAAGGCCCACCCCATTGGGCATGGTGGTGGACACCTTTATTCCTAGCACTCAGGAGGCAGAAGTAGATGGACCTCTGTGAGTTTGAGGCTAGCCTGGTCTACAGATCAAGTTCCAGGGCAGCAAGGGCTACATGCAGAGACTTTACCTCAAACAACAACACAAGGCCCAGCTCAAGCAAGCATGGCTTTGTACAACAGGAATTTCAGCATCTGGGAGATGGAGGTGGGGGATAGGAGTTCAAGGCTACCCTTGGCCACACTGCAAGTTTGAGGCCAATCTGGGCTACATGAGACACTGTCTCAAAAGAAGAGAGAGAAAAAATGGGCATGCTGGCTAAGCTTGTAATCTCAGTGCTTGTGAAGCTGAGGCAGAAGGACTGCTGAGAGCTGAGGTCATACTGGAACATGATAAGTTCTAAGACTCATCCTGAACTATATATAGTAAAGATCACATTTCAAAGATAAAAGAAAGAGTGAATAAGCAAAGCAGCCCAGCCTAATTATTTTGCTACATATCTGTAAGTGTAAGTTGAAAGGGGCAAACTAAACTCAAAGGCTTCACTTCTAATAATTTAGAAATAAAGGGACCAGACCCTCACTTAGCCCCTGCCTTAGCAGCCATGACAGGCTACAGAAAAGACACGTAGGCCTCTGACACAAGAAAACTCCAGATCGTCTGGCCTCCCGGAGTCTAGGGCCAAAACTGAACACAAAGAAATTCCAGATCCCCGCCCCCAGCCTCCTAGATGCTTGGTTCCTAGGAACTGTTTGAACACAAAAGAAACTCCAGGAGGGACCAAAACCTCCCCTGTAGTCTCCAGGATATAGTTCTGAAAACTACTGGTATCTATATATAACAGGCCACCTGCAAGTAACAAGACAATGCTATAGAAACTACAGAATGTTCCATCTCAGCACTGACCAATGAGAATAATGGGTACACAGGTATTACAAGCCAAAAACATGACTGAAAAATTTCTTAATTGTTCCCCAAATGTCAACCAATCAAAAACCAACCCGTACCTACTGATGTAATCCTGTAACTTTTGTCCTTAAAATCTAGCAGTAGACAGGGAACTTTTCATTCACTCCCTCTGGAGGCTGCTGCATCAGCTTGCTAGATGGGGTCCCTGTCATGGTTGGATGAACAATTAAACCTTGCTTTTGCAGTTTAGTGGGTCTGTCTTCCTGGCGGTCTCTGGGGACTTTGCAACTTGGGCACAACATTTGGGGTCTCGTCTGGGATCCATGGACACTCTGTGCTCACCAGCGCTGCTCCCCCTCCCTTCTAGTCTGTATACTTTATGCTCTTACACAGGGGAAAAAATATGGGATAATAGTCATTTATGATGGCTGCACACAGCAGCTCCCACGGAAGATGGATCACCCCAGCTGCTGGCTGTGGGCCAGTACTCTCCTGCTGAGTCCTGGTGCCTGGACTCAGTGTTTCTGTGCTGTGATGCACCTCACCTTGGGCAACTAACAGCCAACTCAACAAGATTGGCCATGGTACAGGTTTTAATGAGTTAATGTGATGTTGCCATCTGTATGTCCTTAGCAATAAAATGTCTGTTCATAGATTTTGCCCATTTTCTACTTAGATCATTTGTTTATGTCACTGTTGAGTTTTACATAGGTTCTCTATCAGACATGTAGTTGTTTAAACTTTTTCACATAACTTGTACCAAAAAAGTAAGTACGTTTTACCAGCCCTTCATGCATGGCCAATCACTGACAAAGAGATGTGGGCTGGGAGAGCACCTCAGTCTGTGGAACAAGAGACTCCTGTTTCTGACTTGTGCCTTCCCCCTTTTAAGGAGCAATGAAATCTATTCTGTTAATTAGAGTTTTCTGTTCTAAAAAATTATGTATACTTTATAATTTAACAATCACCCAGATAATAATGGTTTTAAGGACATAGGGTATTTTATTTTTACTACAAGTTACCCTCTTCCCTCAGCCTAGACAGAGGGACAATCTAGTCAGCTTTCGCCAACAAACTCTGCTGCTGGACATAATTCACTTACCTTTTTGCCTTTTATTTCTGTCACTGACAGTTTTCTTCTTTCACTGACTCTGTTATACATGGCTTGTTTGCAGAATGCTGTGCCTTTCCAGGGCCCAGTAGGGCACACATCACATGCAAAATTCCTGCCTGTTTGTTCCATCTACAGAAGATCTACATTCTTGTTACTGACAGTTTGAAGATACTCTGTCTCTTTAAATGTCCTGTCTGTTTGCTAAGGTAAAACCAGTTACAGTCAGACTGGAGGGCTCTGAGTAAAACATCCCTCCTCAGCCTCTGAGTTTAAATCCAGTTCTCCAGACAGATACTGCACTAATATCATTGTAGCCATATTAATTATTAACAGGGATAAACCTTACTCAGTCCCCTGTATATGTTTTCAAAGGTTAAGCTTAAAACAAATAACTAAAAACAAAGTTGTCTATCCAGATTTACCTACACAACACTCTTAATGCTTCCAGAGATCTACAGAATATGGCACTTAAAATGTTAACTAAAAAGCTTATAACATCAGACAGAGAATCCCAGATCCTGACAGTGACCCAAAGTCTCCAAAGAAGATTACAGGACACATCGATGTCTACACAACACTGACCTGGGGACAAGATGCCCCAATGCATATCTGCTGCCAGGACCTGGCCCAGACTGTGAACAATTGACCAGACATTGGAGAACTGACTGTACCCCTTTTGCCTAGACAAAATAAGGTCAGTCTTTTCCATGTCCCTCTACCACAGAGAGAAAAAAAAAAAAAACCTCTCACCTTGTAGCCCTGATCAAGATTGATACTTTGATATTTCTACCTGCTAATGGAGACTTGGGTATGGCTAACTGTATATGGACTGGACCCTGTCGTTTTTTAATAGATTCAGAAACTGTATAAAATTTATCCTTCTCAAATCTCTGATAGTATTAATGGTTAAACTGTAGCCAGCTTAATAGCTCATTTAATAAAGTTCTGATAAGCTGATAGAGCAATGATTACCTGCTCTTCAGTCACAAGTTCAAGGGTTTTAGATTTATTTTGGTTGTCATCTAAATAGAAACTTAAAGGGCTTTTCATCAGGTCAAAGGCACCTCTGTCCAATCCATACTTGACTCTCTGGACAGGAGAAAAATGTACAAGCTTCTAACTGAAACCTGTAGTCTAGTTTTGCTAGGACTCAAAGATATGAGTCTGTTCCTGCTGCTTTACAGATTCCTGATCTCTGCTTTTTCCAAAATGTAGATTTTGGTACAGATTGATAATACTAATATGTCTAAAAGTTTTAAGTCCTTTTATATAATACAGTCCATAAAGGCTTCAGAGGATCAAAAGTCATAAAGCTTTGGTCCACTTCTCACAGGTCAAAAGGACTCGAGATAAGTACAGCTTTTGTTATCCCACCTGTCTGTTCCTGAGAATGGGATTTTCTCCCCTGGTCTTGGGACTCTTGCCCTTCCTGATCACCAAAACTAAGAACCTAAGAGTTTTGATTAAGTATATAAGTTTTAACTTCTGTTCCCAATTTAAACATGTCTCAAGCAGATTTCTGCTTCTGGTTTCCACTTCTGGCAGATGCATGGAGCATCAGTTGCTGACTACAGCCTGCTCCTAAAGACTACAAGCTATAGCCTTGCTGTGGATGTGAATGAGTCCAGCCATGTGAACACTCCCTGTGTCTTCAACAGAGTCTGCCTACCAGATGCTTCTGATAAATACTCCACTGCCTAAATTCCCTCTTTGCTTTTGCCTAGCATTTCAGCCCACCTGGGCCCCTGACTACGACACCCAAAGTCAGCAGAAAGTAGCACAGAAAAGAATACATCGCCCTCTTTCCCTAGTTGAGATGCTAAGTCAAAGAAAAACTCCCTTACATAGGGGACAAAATAACAATAAAAACTGTCTACTTGTAACCCAGGATTGGGTTACCTATAAGAAGAGGAAGGGGTGAAAGGGGTAAACTAAACTCAGTGGCTTCACTTCTAATAATCTAGAAATGAAGGGACCAGACCCTCACTCAGCCCCTGCTTTAGCAGCTATGACAGGCTACAGAAAAGACGCAGGCCTCTGACACAAAGAAACTCTAGAACCCTGGCCCCTGCCTCCTAGATGCTTGGTTCCTGGGAACTGTTTGAACACAAAAGAAACTCCAGGAGGGACCAAAACATCCCCTGTAGTCTCCAGGATATAATTCTGAAAACTATTGGCATCTATGTACAATAGGCCACCTGCAAGTAACAAAACAATGCCATAGAAACCACTTTGAGAAGTGCTCCAAATTGTTTCCAAATGTCAACCAGTCAGAAACCAACCTGTACCTACTGATGTAAACCTGTAACTTTTGTCCTTAAAACCTAGCAGTAGACAGGGACTTCACTCCCTCTGGAGGCTGCTGCCACAGTGAGCCAGACGGGGTCCCTGTCATGGTTGGATGAACAATTAAAACCTTGCTTTTGCAGTTTGGTGGGTCTGTCTTCCTGGCGGTCTCTGGGGACTTTGTGACTTGGGCACAAGTAAAGCAGGAAAACACATATGAAGGGGCAGGAGAGATGGCTCATCAGTTAAGAGCACTGGCTGATCTTCTAGAGGACCCGGGTTCAATTCCCAGCACCCACATGGCAGTTCGCAAGTCTCCACGGGCACCAGAGCACACATGTGGTGTAGACATACATGCAGGAAAAACACATTAAATTACAATACAAACAAACAAGCTAACAGATGGCCACTAAATGACCCTCAAAGCAAGAGGTAACTTAATAAACTGGTAAGTCCCTAAACATTTTGAATAAAATCCCACCTCTGTAAGTCACTAATACTAGGAGGAAGCTAGTCTGTGCATCTCCTGTGTGCCAGGCCTGCCTGAGATCTGACATCAGAGAGGTGGCAGTACGACATGACACTCCAGTGTCTCAGAAACAGGAGCAGCTGGTCGCGCTCAGTTGCTGGGGAGGCAGGAAAGCATTTTCAACAGGAGTGCCATCCTTAAGTTCAATTCTGTTTCCAAACCATGCCGGAGCTCTAACCCTGAGTGCACGTTAGACAGGCTCTCACCGTGGCTGAGGATCTGATGTTCAGCAGCAAATACCCCAGGGTTACTTTGTTCCATACTTAGTCTAAGTATTTATCATAGGTCAGTCGGCAGATGACACCGAACACAAACTTACCTAGAGGAGACACTAGAAGAATCTTCCCTGATGATCACTGGCCAGATGTCTTTTATATTTAGCTTGTCCTGGTACATTTTCTCTAATTTTTCCATGGTTTCTGCATGGGCAGCCTTCAGCTCTCTTAGCTTCCTGAAATACTCTTCATTGGAGTGGTAGATGTCAGAAAAGCCCACACTGTCCTGGAATGCCACACCTTCATTTCCCCTGGGAAAGCTGTTACCACCAGCCTGATGGGAGGAGAAACCCATTATATGCTATGTGAAATGAAATAAATTAATTGATGCTGATCCAAATGCTGGTTCTTACAGATGTCCCATTCTGTAGCCCAGGCTGGCTGCCCCTGCCTTCTGATGCTTGGGATTTAAGGCATGTTCCTCCAAGCCTGGCTAGTTCCCAGAAAACTGACAGTAAATATTCAAGTTGGGACACTTAACACTGCAGAAGACAGAACAGGACACAGCTACACAGATTCCAGCAAGAAGCCTCTTCTGTACCAAGAGCCAGCTCTTGAGGGACCCCTGCCTCGGGGCTCCAAGGGCAGGCCCAGGGACACAGTTCTCAGTGGCTCTCCAATGACCCAAGCTGGGATGACTTTGGAGAGGAGGAGGACACAGGGCAAAGAGAGTTTCAGAAGGGTCACTGTTGTGGGAAGCAAGGAGAGTAACACCCGTGGGTGGTGACACTTTGGGCAGGAGAAGAGTTCGTAGAGGCATACCGCAGGCACACCTGTATGCTGGAGACACTCCACATACAAGTCAGGACTGGAGTTCTGACTGGACTTTCTTCATCCCTTTTACCCACCATTCAGTTCTTCTTAACTGATTCAACTAAAGAGATAAAACCTCACTGTCTAGAGCTGCAGAAACAGCTCAGTTGGTCAAGCGCTTGCCGGGCAGTGGTGGCGCACACCTTTAATCCCAGAACCCGGGAGGCAGAGGCAGGTGGATCTCTGTGAGTTTGAGAACAACCTGGTCTACAAGAGCTAGTTCCAAGACAGCCTCCAAAGCCACAGAGAAACCCTGTCTTAAAAACAAAAACAAAAGCAAAAACAAACCCAAAACAACAGCAACAGCAAAAACGAAGCAAAATAAAAACCCAGGCGTGGAGACACACTGGAGAGGCGAGGGAGGACCTGAAGCCTCATCAGTGATCTCCAGATACCAGTGAGAGGCCCTTCTTCAAACAATAATGATGACTGCACTGAATAAGCCTGCTGAGCCTTTCCAATGGGAAAATTCTAGAGGCCATCACAAGCCCTTCCTCAAACAATAACGATGACTGCACTGAATAAGCCTGCTGAGCCTTTCCAATGGGAAAATTCTAGAGGCCGTCACAAATCACACCTTGGGCTGGAGAAGGGCCTTGGTTGTACGGTGTCTGCTGAGCATGTACCAGGTTGTGGGTTCATTCCCAGCACAATGGGAAAGGAGGGGGTGGGTGGGTGGATGGGTGGATGGATGGATGGACAAAGAGGGACATATTTTTTTTAAAGATTTATTTATTTGTTATGTATACAGTGTTCTGTCTGCATGTATGCCTACAGGCCAGAAGAGGGCATCATTACAGATGGTTGTGAGCCACCATGTGGTTGCTGGGAATTGAACTCAGGACCTCTGGAAGAGCAGTCAGTGCTCTTAACCTCTGAGCCATCTCTCCAGCCCCCAGAGGGACATATTTTTTAAATTATGTGTATACATGTGTGTATGGGTGAGTGCAGGTGCCCATGGAGTTGTGAGTTGCACAGTGAGGGTACAGGGAACCAAATCCCAGTCCCTACAAGAGCACCAAGTGCCTTAACCACTGAGATATCTATCTAGCCTCAGATTTTTGTTGCTATTTTTTTTAAGTGTTTGAGAGGCTGGTGTTGTCCCCCTTGGAATAAATTCAAGAAAACAAATCGAAAGAAAATAATTTTCTTCAATAGAACTGATATGTAGAAACTTGTTATCAACAACTCATAGGGTCAAAGAACCATTTAATGTACACGAGTTGCTTACAAGAATTGGTTTGTTGCTTTTGCAGAGGACCCAAGTTCAGGTCCCAGCAAGTTTGTGGTGGCTCACAACAATTCATAACTCCAGTTCTAGGGGATCTATCGCCTTCTTCTGGCTTCCATGGGCACTGCACACACATGGTATACACTTACATAATCCCACATAGACAACAGCTCCACATAAATAAAAATGGATGGGGGGAAGGGGCGATGAGCAGAGTTGCCCAAGGCCCTGGCATTTGCTCCTGCTCTCAATGTCCGTGCTCCAGAGAGGCTTCACTGACTATCCCCTTTGGAATGACAACTCTCCCAACTCACTGAGTCTCTTCTCTGCTTCATTTCTCCACAAGTATTTACCCAACAACCATCTGCCCCATCCTAGCTGATTTGTTTGCCCGGGCCTGCTCCAGCTGGGGAAGGCAAGGGTCTGCTTGCAATGCTCTTTCATAGTCCCAGCTTCTAGGAAGGTACCTGGCCAAGAACAGATGTCCAGTAAGTATTTGTGGAATGAAAAAAAGTACAGGTTAAAAGATATGTAAGCTTCCACCACAGGAAAGCTGCAGTGTTTCCTTTACAGAAGACTGAGCTGTGTCTGGAAGCTCGGGTTGCTGAAGGACCACCTGATCTTACTGAGTACCCAGGAAAAGGCCCACGTTCCTAACATAAACGAAAACCTAAAACTCAGGCTGTGAAACTGCCAGTGTTATAAACATGTGTCCTTAGGACAGGGGGCAGCTTTCAGACAGAACACCCATGCTCATTCTCTCCCCCTCGGACTCTCTAAAAGGTCCTATGTCATCTCCACTGAAGACAGCAGGTGTCTGTGGCCTGGAAGAACTGTGTGAAAGGGAGACACCGCGGTGTGGAAGCAGAGGCAGGCCTGAGGAGCTGCACTCACACGGAGGTCTGCACGTGCCTAGTCACCGCTAACGCAAGCAAAACTCAAATAAACCCTCCCGGATGAATGGCTGGGTAATAACTCCCGATTCTACCTTCACCCTCGCCCTTTGCCCCAGGATCCCGTAGTGTGTCGGACACCACATGCAACACTCGGTTATCCTCCCCCTTTTGACAGTTAAGCTCCTCATGCTGTAAGCGCCACTAGGTATGACGTTAATCCTGAGAGTGGCTTGACCCACTTAGGGATGAACCAACCCCCCCACACCTGAAGTGTCGGCACCATAAGGAATTATTTGTGTTGTGGTCTACAGAGTTTACCTGAAGTTCTGGGATCCTTCCTAATTTTTCTTCTTTTCAATGCTGAGTCTGGTAGCACCTGTCTATATATAATCCCAGCCCTCAGAAGGCAGAGACAGAAGGACCTCGAGTTCAAGGTCAGCTTGAGCTACATAGTGACTTTGAGGCCAGCTACATGAGACCCTTTAGACCCAGGCATGGTGGCACATGACTTTAATCTCGACATCTGGGAGGCAGAGGCCCAGCCTGTCTCCATGAGTTCTAGGCCAGCCAGGCTACACAGTGAGACTCTGACCCCAAAAAAGAAGGAAGAGAAAGAGGAATAAGGGAGGGAGGAAGGGAGAGGTTTTACAACAGTGTTGAGTGAGATATGTATACCTCAGCCTCCTGAAGTACTGGGATTATAACTGTGAGCCATTGCACCCAGCTAATGCTTGAGATTTATTTGTTTATAGTTTGGGACAAGGTCTTGCAATATTGCTCAGGCTGACCTGGAACTTTCCATGTAGTCTGGGCTGGTATCAAACTCACAGGTCTTCTGATCCAGTCTTCTAAATGCGCTAACATTATATATTTGAAAAGGAGACTATATTCAATGGTTATCACCTAACTGACATGTAGCTTTCCAAACAACAGATGGCATTTTGTGAATGTTAATACCAAATTATAGATACTGAGCAATGTCTAGTGATACCTGGCCTGCCTGACACCTAGTGCTCCTTTGGAAAATGGCTCCCACTACCCTAGCAAGTATGCTTGCCTTTCCCTTGCTCCTCTGGCCATGGGTGAGTAGTTAGATCTCTCACTACACCTACCCACCAATTGCTCTCATGACCCTTTCTTTAGGAAAACAGAGACCACCAGAGGAACATTTCCTCATCGTCCCACACACAGAACTCCCCTCTGGGGTACTCTGTTCTCTATTCTTCACACTTACGGATCTGGCACAGCATCTGATATGTCACCCGCTGTTTCTCTGTGAATGTGGGGTCCTCCTGGCCCTTATCCAAGTCCTCCTATCATGTGGCTGATCCCTAATCTCTTTTGACTATCATGTCTCTACCAAATGTCAAGGTTCTCTGTCTCTCTGTGGTGTGTGTGTGTGTGTGTGTGAGAGAGAGAGAGAGAGAGAGAGAGAGAGAGAGAGAGAGAGAGAGAGAGAGAGAGAGAGAGAGAGAGAGAGATCACTTTCTGAGTGGGGGCTCTCAGAAAGTTTCAGTCTCTTTCCCTTCCAACACTGGGATTACAGACAAATGCCAGCATACCAGGTTTTTACTTGGGTCCTGGAAACCCAAACTGAGTTTAAAATGTAAACCTTTAGTTAACAGGGCACTCTGAAATATAACTACACTACACAAAGAATGGACCTTTATGCCACAGCAAGCCAAAGTATAAATTAATTTCCAAGTAAATTATTCAAACTGGCAGTTGTTATAATTACTACTAATTTATGTAAAGTACTCTTTAGAAGTGACATTCACTCTCTCCTTTGGTTCTTATTAACTGAATGAGGTGAAAACGGAGACAATTATAGTCCTTTTATAGATAAGGAAATCGAAGTCATGTCGTAAAAATTACCCAGGACTCAGACACTGCTCTCCATCAAACACTGTGATCTATTACAGCTTATGTTGAATGGCAGCTTTATCAAGTATTAAACCCGCGCTAGGATTCTGAGCCTCGCTCATGTTCAGCGTCTCCATCTGCTTTAATCTAAACAACCTCAAGTTGTTTGCTTCTCAAAGTTTGCTACAGGTTAGGCATGGTGCCTCATTTTAATCGCAGCATTTGGAAGATGGAGGCAGGAAGATCAGGAGTTTGAGGTCATCCTCAGCCATAGACAGCAAGCTTGAGGCCATCCTAGACCAATGAGACCCTGTCTAAAATAAAACAACAACAAAAAAGCCAAGGACCTGGCTGGGGTAAGCACTGGCCTAGCAAGCACAGAAGGAAGCCTTCATTCAGTCCCAGCACTGCTAGGAAACCAAGCGTGGCAGGCACACGCCGGTGTGCCTGGGGCTCTGTATCAGCACAGTGCTAGCTTAAACTCAAAGTTCTGGACTTTTAGAGTAGAAGCTGGACATGGCACACACCTTTAAACCTAGCACTCAAGAGGCAGAGGCAGGCAGAGCCCTGTGAGTTTGGGACCAGCCTGGGCTGCATAGAAAGACCCTGTCACAAACAAACAAACAAACAAACAATTATTCCCAAACTATGCTAGAGAATAGGAAGTGAAATTCTGTTTTCTGCACACTCTAGAAACAGCTATAAAATGCAAAAGTTTTGTAGCAATTTTAGTGGGGGCAGAGAGCAGGGAGGGTCCACCGGTCCCCGCCGGTGAGGACCCGGAGTAGAAGTCAGCCCCAGCCCGACCCCCACGTTACCGACGCCCGCGCCGGCCGCATCCCTGTCGGCTCCTCCTCCACCGCCGCCGCCAGCGCCGCCGTCACCAAGGACTCCAGAGCGTCTTCGCGTTCGTACTGGGCGGCCCTTGCTCCGTCGGTGGGATCCACCGGCAGGCGGAGGTTGGCGGCCGCCTGCCTGGCCGCCCGGCGAGGAGAAGCCATCGCCCCGCCTCGAGCCCCAGCGCCCGCGCTGGCCCGGGGCGGGTGAGCTGGCGCCGCCCCCGACCTCGCAGATCCCGGCTTGGGGCGGGCGGTTACTAGGGGCTCGGTTACTAGGGACGCTACGGGAGGTGCGAGGGTCCAAAACACACGCAACATCCTTTCTCTTTGTCACAAGCCCGCGCCCTCCATCCAGCTAGTCTGATACAAGCGTGCGGTTAACCGGCCATTCTAGAAGCATAACTATCTGAAGCTACACAAATGGCTTCCACAGCAAGGCAAAATAAACGTCATTTGCAAGAGAGTTGCTCAACGATAGTCTTCCCGTGAATGAGACCCAGCTCTCCGGCTGGGGACTGTCTTTCTCTGGTTTCTTGCTTTATTTCGGTCTAACCACCTAAACCTTACAGGCACACAAACTTTAAACAAAGAGCGCGCTCTCACTAAGTGCATCACCATGGTGGGGCACAGCGGAACAGGAAAGCACCGGCTGTTGTGTGACCGCCCTAGTAACGACCAGGCTTTGCAGCATCCAACATGGCAGACACCGAGGATCGGCTCGAATTGACAAGACCCGGCACGCGCTGGCAAATCAGAAGGAGAAGACTTAGTTATCCCGCCTTCTCTTCTCTCGGCTGACCAGTAAGAGGCCAGACATGGGAAGCGCCAGCAGCTGCAGCCAGTGAGTGACGTAGGCAGCTTGCCTCGGGTTCTGCAGCTCCCTGGTTGCAGGACTGGAAGCGGGAGAGAGCCTACAGGGACCACACCCTCCCAATTCACCCCCCCCCCCCCCCGCCAACTTTCCGATCAGCTTTAGGTTTTAGGCTCCTTCCGGTGCTCTCAGTGGGTACGGTGAAGCCACCTGCGCCCTAACACCACTGCCCAGCTAACGCCCCTGTCCCCGACATAAGGTTCCAGGAGCTTTCCTTACTATGCGACACACCTTCTACAGAACCTGTCCCTGACGCCCAGGCTACCAGGCCTTCCTTGTGCGCTTATGAGCACCTGCCAAGTCTCATCACCTCCCCCTCCCTCAGCTTCTCCCAGCGGAACTGATGAGCCAGAGGTGGGTGGGATCCATAGTCGTCCAACTGACAGGATAGTGACTTCCAGTCAGCCACAGGCAACTTGTTCTGTAATGGGATTTGGTGTAAGCCAATTCTATGCCAAGACTGATCTACAGACTGAAGCGATGTAAGTGGGTGGCTGGAGGAAAATAAAACTAGTAAGTAATGGGTAGGCAGGCATTAGTGTGCACACAGAACAGAAAAGTTTTTCACTGACAGCATTCTAAATTTGCAGACATCTACTAACACAGTAAGAAGCAGAAATGGTCAGATCTGCAAGAAAATGGCATCATCGTAGAACGACTTTTGCACTTTTGTATTGAAATGTAACAGGACAGTGAAATAATTGTGAATGTATAGTTACATGAATTCTGACAAGTGAATAACCATGATTTCACCACCTTATTAGGATACACAACTTTGGTCAGGCATTGTGGTGCATGTCTTTAATCCCAGCACTTGGGAAACAGAGGCAGGCGGATCTCTGTGGGTTCGAGGGCATCCTGATCTATAGTGTTTTAGGTCAGCCAGGGCTGCATAGTGAGACCTTGTCTATAGGGAAAAAAAAAAAAAAAAACCTTGTGCCCCACCCCCAGTTCATTAGAGATTAATTACCAATCCCCAATTTTTTTCTTTCTTTCCTTCCTTCTCTTCCTTCACCCCTTCCTTTTTTGTTGTGCTGTGTCAGGCCAAGGGCTCCAAGCACACACAACACTCAAGTGCTGTCATGAGTAACATCTGCAGCCATACTGTTTTTGTTCAGCGTGTAACTTTTTCTTTAAAAATTCATGCATGCATTGTGACCCTTTAAAATTCCTAGGTAGTATCTTCTGCTGAAACAGTTTTCTAATACTGGAAGAATCTTCCTGAAATTTATGCTATTCACCACCATGCAAAGGTTTTTAATTGTTTGAGACAAGGTTTCTTCTCTATGTAGCCCTGTCCTGGATCTTGCTCTTTAGGAAGACCAGGCTGACCCACCTCGAACTCGCAGAGCATCACCTGCCTCTGCTCCTGGCTGGGATTAAAGGTGTGCCACCAACACCCAGGCAATGATTTTATTTAATCTGCAGCATTAACATTTTCTGTCACTTAAAAAATTGTATTTGTGTGTGCAAACATGTGATGTATGTGTTGGGAATGTGAAGGTCACAGAACAGCTTTCAGGGGGCTGGTTTTCCTTCACCTTGCCAAGGCAAGATCTCTGTTGTTTCTGCTTGCTGTGCTGTGCACTCCAGGCTAGTTTCTGATTGTTCTTCTGTTTCTGCCTCCTCTCTCTTTACAGGGCTGAAGGTGCTACAGGCCCATGACTACATCCAGCTTTTTCCATGGGTTCTGGGTTGAATTTAAGGAGTTAGGGTTGTGTAGCTATCGTGTTTACTTGCTGAGCTGTCTCCCTGGCCCATTTTCTTAAATTTATGTTTAATTTTTATTGGAAATTGAGCCTTGCCACCCCTTTTTTGTATGTCTTCTAGAAAGCAGTCATCAGAAAAAGTCAGAATTATGAGATGTACTGTAGGAAAAGCTTTTACAGGTAAAGTAGGAAAAACTTCAGAGAAAGACACAGATACCTTAGGAGGGAAAAGCGAGATAACGGGATGGAAAGAGGCTCAAAGCACAATGCAGTCAGAGACCTGCTCAACCAGCTCAGAGAGCCCCAGCACTAAGACTATGTTCTCCACCCCTGGGCTTGAGTTTCCAAGGATTGGCCTGTTCTCAGGTGGGATAGTGTGGAGGGCCCTATCTAGGCTATGGGTAGAGGCTGTCAGCCAATCACGTGTTCAGAAATATTAACAACCTATGTGTGTGTTTGTCAGTCTAAGTTTTCTGACAAAAGGCTTGTGGCACACACCTTATCAAAAATGCATACAATCTTTACTATACATTCCTCACAGACAGCCATCCTTTGTGAGAATTTTCATTGAGTTTTGCTGAGTTTACATTTATAGACAAGTTCTGGTTGCAGTTAAAACTGAATACACAGGGGCTGGAGAGATGGCTCAGAGGTTAAGAGCACTGGCTGCTCTTTCAGAGGTCCTGAGCTCAATTCCCAGCTTATAACCATCTATAAAGAGATCTGGTGTCCTGTTCTGGCAGATCATTGTATGCACAATAAATCTTTAAAACAGAAAAAGAGTGGTACATGCTTTTAGTTCCAAGCACTACGAGGCGGAGGCAGAGGTAGGTGGATTTATGTGAGTTCAAGACCAGCCTGCTCTACAGAGTGAGTTCTAGAACAGCCAGAAACAAAAGACCATCAAATAACAAAAATCTTGTTCTTTGAAAGTACTTAGTAAGTTTCAATCTGCACAATTTGCTTTCAGATAATTCAGAACAGCTACCCTGAACTTTATGCTCCAAACCAGTTTGACAAGTTTTAGTGAAAAAAATTAGTGTAAAAAATGATAATTTTCTCAGAAGAAAATGAACATAATACTGTATGTAGCTCAATTAAGCTAAAACACAAAATGCATATCCACAACTAAAAATAGATTGTATGAATGCATCAACGCATGTCTGGTGTTACAGAGGTTTCAGCAACACCACGACTAGCTGAGTCCAAGACAGGCAAGAAAGTAGTTCAGTTCAAGATGACTCAGTAGATGGTATTGGTTCAAACTCCCTTGAGTCTTGACATCAGGTAGTTTATGTTAGCCAAATTTAAGAACAGCCCAATTTGGTGACTTTTTCCCCTGGAAATAACGCAATCCCATGTGCATAGTAACATTTAAGACATGACCACATCCGTGACATCTTCCATGAAGATGGGCTCTGCAGACCCTCTGGGGAGGACTGCTATGTTTTGGCCACCCAGATAGTACAAAAAGGTCAACAAGCTACTGAGCATGTCTGTTCCCAGCCTTTGAGGGAAAAACATTATACATACCTCCCTTTGAAGGGACAGCCCTGTGTTCAACATTCCTGGGTTCCCGAGTCTTGTGAGTACTGTGACTTCCGTACTTCCAGCATGGTTTACTCTGCACTCTAATAAGCCCTCTTCATAACCTAAGCGCAGCTCTTCCAGCGTCAGTGCTTTCCAAGCTCAAGTGCCTCTATTTAGCACCTCTTGGCCATTTTAACGTGCAAACTCGAGCTCTGCTGGGTTCCTTGTGCACTGCCTATCCAGTCTGTTAGGGACTTAACCACATCACCCTTTGCTCCTTTTGGTGACGGGTTCCTCAAGCAAGCTTAACACATGCTGTCCTGAGACTCTTCTGCAGTTTTGCACACTGTGGTCACTTTCAAGCATGATTCAGAATTGCCTAATGGCAACATGCTAAATCTCCATGGAGAGTAGTCTTCACACTATTTCTTACACTCTCCTCAGTCCTTAAAAGCTTTATACTAAAGCGAAAGGTAAGGAGCAGCACTTAAATGTAAGCACAAAATCTTTGCTGCTTTAGCTGGTCTAGCCCTGCACATTAGTAATTAAGAGCAGCCTAAAAAATATCTGACAGGAACTTTGGATGAGCCTTCTGACTTGTTCTAATCCTACAAACAGTTGGACTAGACTGCCACTGTTAGCTGCTGTGCTATACACCCCACACAACCCTTTCTTACAAGAGTCCTCTTGAAAAACTGTCAAATCAGTTACACATTTAGATAAAGACTAAGTAATGGGTAACATCCTAGTATCTACAGTGTGAGTTAGAATAGTGTTTCCACTTAAGTTTCTAAAGATGTATCTGATCTGTTTAACAATCACTTGAGAGAAAAACTAAATTCTGGATGATCCAAGATACTCAGGCTGTCAACTTTATTTTCCTTAACTGACTTCTTGGATTCTGTGACTATATAGGGCAAAATGTGACTTACCTTAAAAACAGGCTGAGGTGGGAGGATCAGGAGTTGAGATGATTCCCAGTGACAGGATGAGTTCATGATAGGGCTACTTGATATACCATCTCAAAAATAAACCAACAGTCCAGACCAGGGTAGGGAAACAGCTCAAGTTGGTAGAATTCTTGCCTAGTATGCACAAAGTCCCGAGTCTCACCCCAGTATTAAAAAAGGGCACCAGAGTGTACGCCTGTCAGCTTTAGCACTTGGAAGGTGGAGGCACAA